TTGGAGGGGGGGGCATTCCAAAGAAAGCAGCCACTGTCAGCAGGGCCCGGCCCCGCCCCGCCGATTTTAAAGAGCCGCGGGAGACACCACTACCCGCTGTGCAGCGCTGGCACCGTGCACGCCCGGAGACTGCTGGCCCCCCTCTGCCTTCTGCTGCTGCCCGGCTCCGTCGCCTTTTTCATGTCAGCCCTGCCCATGGGGGGCTGGGGCGGGTTCACGGGGGGATGGCCCCAGTACAGGAAGTAAGTTGTGTTATGAGACTTATGATGATCCTATTCTTGATCCAAAAGAAAGGTTTAAAGTGGAATGTTTCTATTGTATTTTGGATGTAGCTGTAACTTCCATTGATGAAAGATTTTATCAGTTGCATGGTCTTTGTGAATGTTTATACGATATTGGAAATATGAAAGATTTTGTCAGTTGCACGGTCTTTGTGAAAGTTTATACGATATTGGAAATATTAAAAATCAGTTTTCTAAAGAAGACCTCATAAAGCACTTCCAGGACCTACATGTAGTGCTCAGTACTGATAACGCTGCTGACATTGATGGAGTAGAATTGTATGATGAATTCATAGCTTTATCTGAGCAAATAAGTCCTAAAATTTCTTCTTTAAAAGTATTAGAATTTATTGCAAGAAATGATTTTTTCACTCCAAACACTGCGATAGCATTACACATTCTTTTAACATTAGCAGTATCAGTGGCTTCTAGGGAGCGCAGTTTCTCAAAACTGAAATTACTAAACAATTATTTGCGGTCCACCATGTCTCAAAATCGTTTGTCAAGGTCCACCATCTCTCAATCGTTTGTCAATACTCGCATAAATTTCAGTTGAAAGGACCATTGCAGAAAGTTTAGATTTTACTGAATTATTAAAAGGCTACGCAAGAATAAAAACCAAAAAATTCAGTTAATATAAATTATTTTAATTTGAGAAACTGGGCACACCGGAAGACGTAAACATTTTTCATTCCAGTGTATAGTTGAACCCAAGTTGTTTGTAATGGTGATT